GGAATCACATTCCATGTTTATTAAAATTTTATTTGATTACATTCAAATCACCACACCTGCTATTTATTTTCATATGCAGATGTTTTCTAACTCTTTTTTTCTAAGAAAGAAAAAAAAAAGCCTGTTAAACTTTCTGCTACATCAGTTTGGAGCAACAGAATCCTGAGTTATAAGAGGAGACCAAAACCAAAAAACCCAAAATGGAACTTATTTATTGAAAATTGTGTATTTATTCTTACATGCTTAAACTTCAGTCACATTCAAAGTACTCTCCATTTGAAGCAATACACCCATCAAGATGTTTTTTCCACCACTCAAAAAAGTTTTGAACTTGTCAATTTTGATGCCTTTTAGTGCTTCTGCCATTTTTTGTTTCACCCCTTCCACAGCAGCAAAACATTTCCCTTTGAGGCCTTTTTTCATCTCAGGAAACAAAAATAAAGTCACTTGGGGCAAGATCAGGTGAATAGGGAAGGTGGGGCATGGGGGTCATGCTATTTTTGGTCAAAAACTGCTGAACACTTGGTACAACGTGGGCAAGTGTACTTGTAAATCACCCATCATGAAGTGGGCAAACACACTGAGTCTCCAAAAAAAATTCACTGAAGCCAAACACAGCCTCTCACAACAACACCAGCTGGTACACTGATACAGATGGGTTCCTAGAACAGTCACCTAGTGGGGGGAAGCCTGCACTACAAGGGGCCTGCCCTCCAGAAGATAAGTCTGGTTTTGGGGAGGTCCCCCTTGTAATTAATTTGGTAAAGTTTTCTGTTCCAAATAGCTTTCATTATCTTCTAATCTAGGACATTAGAAAGTCAAACAAAAATTATAAAAGGTGCACATTAATGAATGATGCTGTTTTTGTTTGCAATGGCAGCTCATACAAAATTGTGCATAATAATTTGCAAATTATATACAACACAGTTCTGAGAGAACATATATAAGTCTGTTCTGACTGAAATTTGGCCTTATTAATCTTTCTTAGCTAGAAAAATATCTGCCCTACCTGGTGTAGCTCAGTGGATTGAGTGCGGGCCTGTAAACCAGAGGATCGTGGTTCAATTCCCAGTCAGGGTACATGCCTAGGTTGTGGGCCAGTTCCCAGCAGGGGACACATGAGAGGCAACCATGCATTGATATTTCTCTCCTTCCCTTCCCCTCTAAAGATAAATAAAAAATAAATAAAATTTAACATAAAAAATTAAAATAAATAATAAAAAATATCTATGATCTAATTTTGTGCATATTTTTCTTTTCCCTGTGTTTCCTAATATTTGCTATTCTTCTAATATGTGCTGTAACTTCCTTCTTAGGAGAGAGAGAAAAGCAACCTCTGCAAACTAGGAATTGCTGGTGAACCATCAGTTAGACCATGATCTTTTTAGCTGCTGACCTTGTGTCTTGGTGCTCTGTTGAACATAAACAATTGTATAGAATACCAGTGTTACACAAGGCAACAGATGCCACCAATATCTGTGACTCTGATAAATGAAGAACAAAACAAGACCATTCCGTAATCGTGTCTAAATACAGGGGGGAAAGAAACAATGTATTTAGAAGCACAGAAATGACCCAATATCCCTCCATCTTGGCTAATATGAGTTAGTGCCACTTCTTTACTAATCACAGCATTAACCATTTTCTATTCTTCCCTCTCTCTGGATAAGAATCATAAAGATGTCTGTAGCAGACTGACTCCAACATAGCCCCAATTATCCCAGCTTCTAGCTGTCACAACTATGTGTAATATCCTTCCCTTCAGTGTAGACAGAATCCCTGACTTGCTTTTAATCAGTAGAATATAGGAAAGATGTTGAGATTCTACTCACATGATTGCATTATATAATATGTAACTCCCATCTTGCCAACAGACTCTCCCTTGTTGACTTTGACCAAATAAATTGAAATACGGAGAACTCCACCCCCACTGAAGGTGGCCTCCAGCTGACAGCCAGCAAGGAGCAGAGGCCCTCAGGCTGACAGCCCACAGAGAACTGAGTCCTGCCAACAACCGCAGGAAGGGGATCCTTCTCTCTTAAACCTTCAGAGGGGTCTACAACCCCAGCTGACATCTGGATTGCAGCCTTGTGAAAAGCTGCCCTGCTTGTTTTCAGAAACTACAACCCCTCATGGCTAAGGCTGAGTAGGAAGACCTTGGGACCATAAGCCACTTAAGAGACAAAGCTTATCTTCCTTGTAGGGGCACCACTTCTGACCCCTTTCTCTTCACCCTGCCTGACCCCCCAGTGGATGACCAGTTACTCAATGATGGGAAAGATTCCTCAAGGGAGGTATGACCTGAGACAAGCATGGTCATGAGGGGGCCTTCAGGGAAGGCTTTGGGGGCTGTAGAAAAAAGGGGGTGATGGACCCTCACCTTTCAGCTTTGACATAGCCTGAGTCCTCATTCTGTCTGCAAGAAGTCTCCTAATCTCTTGGCTGCCTTACTTCCCTTGTCTGACTAAAGCCTGAAACAATGCTGGAGGTGGGTGTGGCCCTGTGCTGGAAAGGGTGGGTTCCCTGGGGCAGTCAGGCCTAAGAAAGAATATATAAAATCCTGTGAAACCTGTTTTGCTAATACCCTCAATTTAAATAATAAGGGTCCAAGCAGGAAATGAGTTTGTTTCCCCAAAGTTTTATGGCCCTTTAGCTATCTGACCCTGACTCTAAATAGGCCCTCAGAGTTCTTTGTATGTTATCTATTGTTTGATCCTTACTGTCTGACAATGATTGATGAGCTTTACATATATGCCTTGTATTCTTATGCAAATAAATCCAGTAAAAGCCCACTGAGGAAAAGGCTCCTGGCCCTTCTCCTTTGAGAGATCCACTACCTTTCCTCCCCAAGCAGATCATGTCTAGGTAGACTTATTCTCCTTTGTGGCAGCCAGGGGGCCCTGCGGGCAGAGTCCTGCCACAGCAAAGGATCCAGCTAAGCTGTGTCTAGAGTTTTGAACCACAGAATAGTGAGATAAATTGGTATTGTTTCAAGCTGCTCAGTTTGTAGTAATTCCTTATGCAGCAATAAATAGCTAATATGATAGCCAGTAGAATTGTCTCCAATTCCTGACAACATTCAATGACTGCAAAGTGTTAGGGGCTAAGGGAAATAGTCTTAAGAAAACTAAGTTGTTTGTTCAACCTTAGCTGCTTGCTCAAGCTTGGGTGGGGGGACCACACCCACCCCCAGGCAAATGTTCCAGGAAGTTAAGCAGATAGCTTCTTGGAACATTGGTCAAGCAGATAGCTTCTTGGAACATCCCTTAGGGGGGAAAATTTTTACCCCTAGCATGAGCCCCTAGGCCAATGGCTAACCTGAGCACGAGCTGTTCACGGGTCCTGCCGGCCAATCATCAGCAAGATCACGAGCCCTAGCATAAACCCCTGAGCCAATAGCTAACTGCCACCTTTTGCTTCTGGAAGTTGCTTGCTTGCTCGCTTCTATAAGAACCTTAGCCTGTAAGCGTTAGGCGTGACTCTCATCTGCAGCCATCTTGGCACTGGTGCATCCGGAGGCACCCCAAGAGTTCACCCCTGCGCAGATAAAACTTTGGCCAATAAAGTAACATCTTTGAACCTCTGAAGGTCTCCGTCCTTTCTCTCGCGATTTTGGGATGTAACACAAAGCTTCATTCCTTCAAGGTGTCCCAAAATCTTAACAAAAGCCCAAATATTAAAATGCAATCCTAACACACTTTTACTGAGATACCCCTACAATTCCCCATGGGGTGTATTTTCCTTGTTGCAATGATTAACACTGTCAATCCCCACTTTGTTCAACTGCAGTGTATTTCAGAAAGGGCCGGTAGGCCTCTGGCCACTGACACTTGATGTGTCTTTCAACACTGAGCTTGTTACACTACTTACCTCCCTAAAGGTCAGCAGAGACACCTATAGATTAAGCAAAATAGAGTTTATTGGACCGACTGCAGAATACTGGTTTAACGGAATCTTAGTAGTGTCTTAAAATTCAGAATTTAGGGGAGAATGTTTATGAGGTTTTAGGGTCTTGGCTGGAGGATTTGAAAGTGAGTCTTGTAAGGGGGAGAACTAGTTGAAATTGGGCTGAGTTTATGGTATAATGATTTTAGTTAATAACTGGTTAACGTCGAGAATCTTGAAATGAGCTTTGATGAACAAGTATTTTCATTTTCATAATTATGCTCATTTAATTTGTTTAGTGTTATTTTTTAAGAGCAAATATTTTTTTGGATGAAGTAGCTAAGTTATTTTTACTTGTCCTCAGTATTTAACACAGGTACATAAAAGTATGTTGTCTCTCAGCGTTTGCACAGGGGCAGGGAATCATGCTGGTGTCAGTTTTCATATTGTTGCATAACAGCCTTGTTGCTATTTGTAGGTAATGATCTGCTTAAATAGCGCAGCTCAAATTTCACTTTAAATGACACCTGCTCTGTTGCTAAGGAGGATCGGCCTAACTCGTTGCCCAATATTTAATTTTTATTTACATCTCTTCTCAGTATCTTTTAATCTCTATTTTCATCATAGGGTCCTATGCGAATGCAGCAGGTAGAGCACAGAGGAAAAGTTTTTAACCTGTTTATTTGCTGGTGGGATCTTGGACTCAGGCCTTAGTTACGAGAGTATTCCTTCCTGGGCATATCACACATGCCCTGACCCTTTTGAGAAAATTATTAAAAAGTCACCAAGGGCAGCATTTTAGAGTTTTACTATTTAAGGGCCTGTGTCTTCTGGCCTATACTTACACTGGACGATGTTTGTACTTTAAAGTTTCCAATGTTAGCTCCTGCTTCCTGGTCAACCCTGAGTCAGTGGCCACGCAAAGCCGTCTGGCCCAAGTGGGACCGTGACAACGCAGGTGCTCTCTTGGGAAAGGAACAGGCAGTGAAGGCAACAGTGCCTGCACACTGGGTAGGCTTCTCCCAAGTTCAGGTGTCCAGTGGGCAGGGCTGCATGTGGATCTCTCCTTGTGGCTGCTGTGGGAGAGCAGAGTGGGAACTATGAGGATCGGAGTTATGGCGGGACAGACATCTAGAATGTTTCCCCTCCTTGACCAAGTATTAGTAGAAAGGAGTCTTAGGCTTCCAGAAAAATCTCAAGGAAAAGTACTGCAAGCAACAGTTGGAGATAAAGTTCTTCTTCCAGAATATGGAGATACCAAAGTAGTTCTAGATGATGAGGATTATTTTATTTAGAGATGGTGACACTCTTGGGAACTGTGTAGACTGCTAGATCACTATTGAAATAGCATCACATGAATCTGCCCATTCCACCAAAGTCCTGAAATCTTTCATCATGCCAACAATTTGTGTCTCTTTTATAATAAACTAATAATATCAAAACTAATGATATCCAGTGTCTCTTAAAATTTAGTTTCACTGTACTAATATAAACATTTCCAAATGAGAAAATATTTTTAAATGTTTAATATGAAAATAATAGCCTAGTTGACAATGTGGAAACTTTGCTACCAACTAAAATCTCCTTTTCCATAATCCTGAACAAAAATAAGACTCTTTTAAAATGCACTGCCTTGTGGAAGTACATCAAAGTTAACAGTAAGTCTGTGTGGCCTTCATTCAAGGCAGGAGCTCATCTCTTTCTTCTTGTTGCTTTCATCTTCACCAAGTTCTGACTCTTCCTCCTTTGGAATTTTTCCAATTGCTAGCCAACCACAGGCAGCTTCTTCCCTTACTGGTCTTATCAGGAAAGTAAGTGCAAGTATATCAAGTATAAGCTACATATACACATTATGGAGACAGTACAAGCTATAATAACTGAAGATTTCTATTTACTGTTGTTTTATGGCATATCAAGTGCCAAGAACAAATACATGTAACTCAGTCAGAAATGTGAAGCAATTAATTTTGCTTTAATTCACTGGGAGAAAAATAATCTCTTTCTCTTTGTGTGTAAAAGATAGGTACATCATAATGTCACAAAATAAAAAATTGTTTATTGATTTCAAGTCAAATAAATTCAACAGGCATGATTGAATGCCTATGACCTGCCAGTCATGATTCTAGGTGCTTGTGATGTATCAGTGAGGAAAAGCCTCACAGAGCTTACATTTTCATAGATAGAGTCAGATGATAAATACCACATACAATAATTAAACTATATAGTTTCTTAGAAGGCTAAGTACAATTGTCCAAGAAAATCAGAGCCTGATAGTAGTTAAAGTGGCAAAATAAAAACAAACAAACAAAAATCCCAACAGATTTTACCCAGTATCTATTGCAATAGAAGGAAAAAATCCTCAGTATGGAACAGTGATCAATTCAGAATACAACAAGAAAAGTGGCAATCTATAGCCCAGGGGCAGCATAGTGGTGGGGAAAATCATTGAATGAAGATACTAAGATGAAATCATGGGTAAAAGGAAATTTCTAGCTACGCTAACTTGACAGGATTCTTGCTGAAGGCAGGCCAGGGCAATCAGATATCACTTGGGGATGGTGGGGGATGAGAAATTGGATCAGACATCAAATATAATTAGTTATCGAGGGTGGAGGATTCTTCTAAACTGTCTTAGCAGGTTTTTTGCTAAAACTAGGCTCTTAAGGAGGGAAAAAAGGCCTAATAATAGAACCTATTCAAAAAGGGCTCTCAGGAGCATACCTAGATTTTGGTCAAGGAGGGAGTCTCTTAACTAGGTAAAAAAGGGAAAAGTAGAGAAAAGTAATTAGATGGGAAAGATATCACTCTATTGGAATGATCAGACTTCTGTGAAAAGGTAGAATTTGCCAAGCCATATCTCAGCTCAGAGGAGAGTTTTTCAGTTGGAAGGAAAAGCCAGAAGAACAGTTTAAGGAGAGCGCCCCCAGCAGGCTACGAAACCCGTAAGAGAGCCAGTGTGGCTGCAGCAGAGGGAGCAAAAAGAACAGCAGACATAGTCACAAAATGACTTCCTTCACTTGCTTCATTCCAAAATTAGCAATGACTTAATCAATAAAATTTCTCTTTTTCAAAAATTACTTTCCTGAATAGCAATAGCCAAATGAGTATGGGAACTATCTCGATATTTATCATTTCCCATGATAATGTTAATGTTAAATGTGTAAGGATGCATACAGGCTGAAAGGGAAGATATGGAAAAAGATATTCCATGTGAATGGAAACCATAAACAAGCTGCAAGAACTACATTTATATGAGGCAAAATAGAGTTTTAGATAAAGACTCTTGATATGAGGCAGGGGGGTAATTATATAATAAAATGGGTCAATCCAATAATAAATATAACATGTATAATTATTTATGCATTTGACATAGGAACACCTAGATATAGAAAGCAAATATTAACAGGCCCAAAGGTAGAAATGGATAGCAATATGATAACAGTAGGGGATTTTAATACTCCACTTACATCAGTGGATAGATCGTCCAGACAGAAGACCAGTGGGGAAACTGTGGACTTAAGCAACATATTTGGTCAAATGACATTAATAGACATTTACAGAACACTTTGTCTAAAAGCATAAGAATATACATTCTTGTTATGCACACATGGAACATTCTTCACATTAGATCATATGTTTGGTGATCATATTAGATCACAAAGCAAACCTTAATAAATTTAAGAAGATTGAAATCATATCAAGCATTTTCTCTGACCAAAAATGGTATGAAACTAGAAATCAATCACAACTGGAAAATTCACTAATATGCAAATATAAGACAACATGCTATTGAAAAAAAAAGAGAAATTTGAAAATATTGAAAGACAATGAAAATGAAAATAAAGCATATCAAAATGTATAAGATGCAGCTAAATCAGTTCAAAGAGGTAACACAGGAATAAATGCCTACGTTAAAGAACATAAAAATCTCAAATGAGCAAATTAATCCTGCATCTCTAGGACTTAGAAGAAGAACAAATGAAGCCCAAGGTTAGAAGAAAATAAATAACAAAGATCAAAGTGGAAATAAATTAAAAGGGACTAAAGATCAAATGAAAAATACCAAAGAAACTAAGATCTGGTTCTTTGAAAACATAAGCAAAATAGACAAAACTTTAGCCAGACTCAATAACAAAGAAGGGAGAGGACTCAAATAAGTAAAATCAAAAATACAAGAGATAATACAACTGATACCACAGAAATACACAGATCACAAATAGATACTATGTAAAATAATATGCCAACAAAATTAAACAACCTATAGAAGTGGATAAATTCCTAGAAACACACCTACTAAGATGGAATCTTGAAGAAATAAAAAATCTAAGCAGACCAATTACTAGTTAGGAAATTCAATCAGTAGCCACAACATTCCAACAAACAAAAATTCTAGGACTAAATGTCTTCAGTGATAAATTCTACAAATATTTAAAGAAGTAACACCAAAGAACAAGACAAGGATGGCCACTTTCACCACTCCTATTCAACATAGTACTAGAAGTCCTAGCCACAGCAATTAGACAAGAAAAACAAATAAAAGGCATCCAACTGAAAAGGAGGAAACAAAACTGTCATTGTTTGCAGGTGACATGATAGTGTACATAGAAAATCCTATAGACTCCACCCCAAAACTGCATGACCTAACAAATGAATTTGGCAAAACAGGCAGATACAAAGTCAATACCCAGAAATCAAAGGCATTTTTGCACACCAACAATGAAATGCAGAAGCAGAATTCAAGAAAAAAATTCCATTCAATATAGCAAGAAGAAAAACAAAGTACTTAGGAATAAACCTAACCAAAGAGGTAAAACACCTATACTCAGAAAACTATACAATGCCGAAGAAAGAAATTAAGGAAGACATAAACAAATGGAAGCATGTACCATGTCCATGGATTGGAAGAATTAACATCATCAAAATGGCCATACTTCCCAAAGTGATTTATAGATTCAATGCAATCCCTATTAACATATTTCACCATTACATATTTCACAGATATAGAACAAACATTTCAGAAATATATATGGAACCATAAACAACCCCGAATAGCTACAGAAATTTTGAGAAAGCAGAACAAAGCAGTTGGGATCACAATACATGATATCAAATTCTATTGCAAGGCAACTATAATCAAAACAGCTTGGTATCGGCATAAAAATAGGCACATAGACCAATGGAACAAAAGAAAGAGCTCCGAAATAAACCCAAGTATTTATGGTCAATTAATACTTGACAAAGGGGAAAGAAGCACAACAAGGAGTAAAAATAGCCTCTTCAAAAAAATGGTGTTGGGAGATCTGGGGAGCTGCATGCAAAAAAATGAAACTCAATCACCAACTTACAGCATACACAAAAATAAATTCGAGGTGGAAAATCTCAGACATTCCATGCAGCAACATCTTCATGGATATGTTCCCTAAAGCAAGGGACATAAAGGAAAGAATAAACAAATGGGACTTCATCAAATTAAAAAGCTTCTACATGGCTAAAGAAAATAGCATTAAAATGAAAGAGAACCAACTGTATGGGAAAACATATTTGCCAATGATACCTCAGGCAAGGATTTAATCCCAGAAACATATGGAAAGATGCTCAGCATCACTAGCCATCAGAGAGATGCAAATTAAAGCCACAATGAGATACCACCTCACACTGGTCAGAATGGCCAATGTAAACAAATCAACAACTGTTGGAGAAAATGTGAAGAAAAGGGAGCCCTAGTGTACACTTGTTGGGAATGCAGACTGGTGCAGCCACTGTGGAAAACAGTATGGCATTTCCTTAGAAAACTGAAAATGGAACTACATTTTGACCCAGCAATTCCACTGCTGGGATTATATCCTAGGAGCCCTGAAACACCAATTGAAAAAAATCTATGCACCCCAATATTCATAGCAGCACATTTCACAATAGCCAAGTGCTGGAAGCAGCCTAGGTGCCTATCAGTAAATGAGCAGATCAAAAAACGATGATACATTTACACAATGGAATACTACGCAATAGAGAGAAAGAAGGAGCTTATACCCTTTGCGACAGCAGGGATGGAACTGGAGAGCATCATGCTAAGTGAAATAAGCCAGGTGGTGAGGGACAAATACCATATGATCTTACCTTTAACTGGAACATAATCAACAAAAGAAAAAAAGCAAACAAAATATAACCAGAGTCATTGAAATTAAGAAGAATCTAACAACAGCCAGAGGGAAGTGGAGAGGGGACAGTGGGGAAAAGTGTTTTCAGGAACTACTATAAAGGACACATCAAGAAAACCAAGGGGGAGGGTGGAAGCAAG